TCCACCCAGAGCGAACAGGGGCCGGGAAGGGCCTCCGGGACCCGAGCTGCACCCGGGAGCCCGGGTGTTGGGGAGACAGGGATCCGGGCCCCTGCACAGCACCCTATTTCTGCCCAGGGGTACGGGACCTGCACCCCCCGCTGACGGTCCCCAGCTCGTCCCCAGAGCACCACTGTAACCCACAGCCATCCCAGCACAGCCGACCCTCCTTCACGGTGGGGTATGGGGACCCGCTGTTCTTGGCTCCAGCATGCTGCAGTGGGGTTTTTTTCTCTGCCCTGATCCGGGCCCCTGCACAGCACCCTATTTCTGCCCAGGGGTACGGGACCTGCACCCCCCGCTGACGGTCCCCAGCTCGTCCCCAGAGCACCACTGTAACCCACAGCCATCCCAGCACAGCCGACCCTCCTTCACGGTGGGGTATGGGGACCCGCTGTTCTTGGCTCCAGCATGCTGCAGTGGGGTTTTTTTCTCTGCCCTGAGCATGGGGGGCAGCATCCCGGTGTGTGCCCCTCCTGCCTCCCTGCCCGCGGTGCAATGCTGCCTTGGGCCATGCCCAGAGCTGGCCGAGAAGAGCCTGGTCTCCTGTGACAGCTCCGTATGGCTCAGCCCTGTCCTTCTGCTCTCCATCATCAGCCCCCATCCCCGCCCCCAACTTCTGTTTCTGCAGCACGGCATCTCTGGAGCTGGGCCAGGCCTGGCACCCACTAGGCAAAAGCATCTCCACTTTTCCTGGCAGCACAGTACCCCACTGGAGCCCACAGCCCAGTGCCTTGCCTGGGAGGAAGCAAAAGCACCATGCAAATATGCACAAAATAAATAGAAAGTGCGGGAATGGGGAAGTTGATAGTAAAAAGAAATATGAGTCAGAAAGAATCATTGGTATAGGAAAGCTGACGTGGAAAAGAAAAGGACACGGATGCTGCCAGCAGAGTCACTCCAGGAGGAGGAGGAGGAGGTCATCCCTCCTGGATGTATCCCTCACCCTGGTAGCACAAGCCCTGGCAGGGAATGTAGGCTGGTGCTGTGGCCGGCAGGCTGCTGAGCAGGACATGGCTGTGGCAGGGCCAAGGCAGGCCAGGAGTAGCGTGTCCTACACAGAGTCCCCTGCTCCCTCCTGACACCCTGGACATTGCTAGGAGAGAGCACGGACAGACTGATGCCTCTGGGTCACTTGCACGCAGGACAGAGGAGGGGCTGGGGAACAGTTGGACCCAAGGGACTTTGCTTCTCAATGTGTTCATCAGGACTTGGCTGACAGTTGTGAAGAAATCGCTGAGGGACTTCCCAGATGACCCAGAGTTTGGCAAGTAGTGGTGTTTGTGGGTCACTGATGTAGTGATCTGGGCTATGGGAGAGCTGAGGTGCAAACGTACAGCAGCACTCAGCACTCATCTGTCTTCAAAAAAACAGAGCACCAACATCACTCCTTTGGAGATGCAGCTGCAGGTACAGACAGGATTTTGCTGGTACAATTTAAGCCAGTTTACTGGGCAGAATACACTAGGATGGCATTTTCAACAGAGCTGTTGCTGGCAGAGCATGTGTAGGGCGTGAGTGTCATACTTGCAAGGCAGTGTCAGTTCACAGCAAGGTGTGAGTGAGGCACTGGCAGGCGGGTGCTGTACAGGGACCCTTGGGACCTCACTGCGAGCTGAGCAGGAGTTCCTATGGATTGGGAAATGGAAAATCTATTTATCACGGAAATGCTTTCTTTGGGTGAAATGTTTTCTGGGATCCTTGAGTGGCTGCACATTTGGCCCCGTGCATGGTGGGGCATGGCTAGCAAGGCGACTATATATTATTTCAGAGTAGATGGAACAACTGTGTAGTGATGTTCAAGCAGGTAGAAGATGTACTGGGGCGGTGGGGACAGTCCTGGGAGGTATCGGATGTCTATGAGTAGAAGATCTACCTGCAAGGAAGGTAATGTTCCGTGTGTGCTGTGGTGCCACCTACCACACCATCGCCCAAGGTTGGTGTTGAGGGTTGCAAGGTGGGCTTCTTCCAAAGGGAGCAGGGCATTGGGTCCCCTCCCAGGCAGACCAGCTGTGGTGCACACAGGTGCTTTGGGGAAACGTGGGTGCTTTCCTGGGCAATGCTGGCCTCAGGTCAGGCGCTGAGAGCCGGTCCTTTCTCCCAGACTAACAGAGTCATTGCGATCTGCCCTTGTGTACCACCCAGTTCAGTGAGTGCGTTCACTTCCCTCAATATCTGCTTCTGTTGGCTTTGTCTGCTAGAAAGTGTATTGACTGATTTAAGTTTCCCATGATGCAGAGCCCATCCAAAACTGGGAAGCTGCCTTGATGGCTAATTGCCATCACTGTTCAAGACATAATGTATTTTCTGCGAGACTTCACATTGCAGCTGCCAGATCTTTCAAAGACTTGAAGTGACTGAAGATCCTTCTCTTGCTAAATTTCAGGTCTGGGCTGGAACACTTATAGGTTCCCCTTAACCTCCTCTTTAAGAAGCTGTCAAATCTGCGTCTCTCCAAACCCATTTAGTTGCCTATTCTCCCATTGCCCCCAAGTGAACTGGCTTGCCTTCCACTGGGTATTCTTTCTCTCTGGCTTTGTGGACAACTCTACACCTCCCAGGTCTTCCTACAAGCAGAAATAGGAAGGGCCTTTCCTTGAAAGCAGTCCCAACAGGGGAATGGGTGCTGCACGTCCGGCAGTGCCCCTGCTCATTATATCCAGTCACAGACTGATTCCCTGCCATGCAGAGCGCAGGTCGGACTGTCAGCTGCTGTGGTGCTGCAGCGTCAAGCTTGTGTCAGACACTGGTGCCCAACAACCACCTAAAGCCTGCAAGCAGCAGAAGTGGAAATGTTAAGAAACACTTGGGAATTTGCTGACTCCAGTTCTGTAGTTCCTCCATCTGGTTTTGTTGATGTGAACTTTCTGGAAGGACAATGTCCTTGCAGCCAGCCTTGGTGCCCATTGATCCGTGTCTTTGTTAGCAGACAACTGGTAAGGTTGCTCCCCACTGTGCTTTCCCTCTCTGGATTTTCCCTCTGCAAGCTTATGGGGATGGTGTTTTCCAGTGAGGGACGGCCAAGGTGCCTGTGAAATGTCATGTGGAGTCACAGTCCCAGCACTGGTGGGCATCCCCACAGGCTGGTTGTGTGTTCTGGATCTGAACAGCTTGCCATGGGACAGGGATGCTGCCTCAAAGTCCTGCCCTGCTGCACTGCAGGTTTGTGTTTGCAGGGTGCAGGAGAGAGCTGTGTCAACACAATTTTGGTGCAGTTTGAGTTGTGCAGTGATTAAAGACAGAGAGAGCAGCTTTTATAGCCAGTACAGGAGTGATGATGCTTTACTTGACAAAGCCTGACATTACCCAGACTCAGACAGATGCAAAGAGACACAGAGCTGGTCTTTGTAAAGAAGAAAAACCCCAGGCAGAAAACTCCAGAGTAGATGTACAATAGCTCTGTGCTTTGGTGCACCCCAAAATCATGCTAGAGTGCCTCAGAACCTAGCCAGCCCTCAGCCATCTCCTCTAGGCTTGGCTTTTACTATGCAAATTCCTCCTCACAGGTTAAGTGCTTCCTTGTGCAATTCTTCCCAGCGGTCTCCTTCTGGGAAGGATGGAACCCCAGACATTACACCCGCTTGCTTGAATACCGATGCCCAGCAAGACCGTAGCAGGAGAGCAGACACTTGAAGTACCCAGAGGTGGACAACTGGTGGATCTCTGGGTTTGAGAGCAGCCACCTAGGGATAGTACAGGGAGACTCTCTTTTAAGACAGTTACTGACAACTGCCTTTTGGTTGTTTTTTTCCCCTTTTACAGGTTTCTATGGGAGGCCATGGTCTATGGAACAGAGGAAACTTCTCTTTCAATGGCAAGTACCCTGAATTTTCCTCTCTGAAGGTACTAGCCGGTGGCACAGCGACAAGGTGGAAGCCAGAGTGCTGTGGAGGCAGGAGCGGTGAGGAAAATGTGCTGGAGGGAGGCTCCTGGGGCTGGCCTGCCTTTGGGACACCGGGGCGATGGCAGCGAAAGGGTCTCAGGCTTGTCCCAGTGCCCCCTCTGTCCCAGCACTCCTGCACCCCGGGATCCAGCCTGGGGAAAGGCTCCCCCTGCCCTGGGCCCGGGGGTGGTGGCTGCGGTGTGGATGGGGTAGCCCAAGGATGCCCGGACAGATACGGGCTGTGCTGCCCTGTGCCGGCAGATGGTGCTGGGACTCCGCCACAGCCCAGCTGCAGCTAGATGTGCTTGGCTGAGGGGCCTGGGCTAGGGCTGGGTACCCCAAGAGGATGAGGTCTGGGGATGGGGTCCGGAAGGGGCTGGGTGGGCACCAGCACCTGTGTGCTGGCACTGCGCAGCTGGCATGGGTGCCCGAGTGAGGGTGCAGACCTACAGGGAGCTGTGGGTGGGACAGGGTCGGACACTGCTGCCCGTACCACAGGAGAATCGACGGCAGCTGGGAGAGGTTTGGAGGGGAGCTTGGGGGCTACTCGAGCCTGACGGTGCTGCCTCTGGAGGCACCAGAAAAGCTGCTCTGCCCTGAGTGCAGCGTGGCACGGGTCAGTTACGGCAGCCCATGTGCAGCGCGGTGTCAGGGAGCAGGCGGAAGGACTGGGGCTGGAAATGAGAAGTCAAATCAGCATGAGAGAGGATGTGGGGGTGTTTAGTAGGCTGGAAGCCCACCTCGGGTACTGACCTGGCAGGACCAGCGCCCATTGCCACATCACCGAACCGTGCAGTCCTGGGCAGCGCCACATGGCACCAGCCCCTGTGGGTGCACTGTCCACAGGACAGCACACTGCATGCCCACTGCCACCCACAGCAAGCGGCCAGCTCACCCTGCCTGGGGCCACCATCCCTGCCACCCTGCGCTTCCAGCGAGGGCACCAAGCAGGTGCTTCCATCCAGCCCGGCCTCTCTGGAGCCAGGCTTATCATTGTGGAAACAGCACAGCAAACCCACATCACTCCACTGTGGGCACAAGTGGCCACTTTAGCCTGAGGCTGCCATCCCTGCCTGGTGTGGAGGTGGCCCTTGTGAGTCCTCAAGTACGTCTGTGTGTCACCATGTGTCCCTGTGATGGAAGGATGTGGGCAGGATCTGTCACTGGCTGGTTGTGAGAGTCACATTGGTGTGGGAGTTGATCTGTGCCCCGCAGGGCGTCCCGTGGAGCATCCGGCATGGGTCATGGGCTGGGCAGCACACCCATCAGTGTGGGTACTGCCCTGGTGATGACATGGGCAGCATGCTGGGGATGCTGTGGAGAGTGTGCTGGTCACAGCACAGGCAGTGTGCTGGTGACAGCGTGGGCAGTGCACCGGTGACGGCCAGGCAGTGGGCCAGAGACAGCAGGGCCATGTGCTGGTGACTGTGCTGGTGATGGCACTGGCAGCCGCCTACTGCGTGGAAAATGTGCCGGTCGTGCTGTGAGAGCGCACTGGTGACAGTGTGGGCAGTCACAAGTGCAAGTAAAGACTGTAGTGCAGAGACCAGAGATGCAGATACAGAAAAAATGTAGCTTAGAAAATTTGGGGGAAACGTGCAGAAAGGAAAACAAGATGTGATGTTTTAAAGTGCATTAGGAATGAGATCTAATGATGGCCTTTTCTGGTACTGGACTGGGATGTATGTTCACGTGTTTGCACATGTGAGCGGTATGTTCATTGGTGTTTTTCTTCTCTGGAAAGAAACAAGATGAGACACTTGTGTAGTACATGAAGAGCTTCTCAGTCTGTTCATTGTGGGAAAATGTAAATCATCATCTACTAAGGAGAATAAATAAAAATAAATGAATGTATCAGATGGCTTTCATACAGGGGTGCCAAAAGAGCTGTCTAGAAAGGTGTCTGCCCTGTCCTGATAATTTCCAGTGAGTCTTGGATTGCTGGGGAGACTCTGGAAGGAATTTGTGATTTTTGAGGCCAGAAAGAGCCTTATGACAGTGCAGTCTGATCTCCCAAAGCAGGCAAGCCCTGATCTCTCTCAGACCTGCTTCCCTTCAGCTCCGACTGCAGTGAAGCATCTGGAGAGCTGGAGAGCTTTCCTCCCCCATCTCATCCAAAGGCATGTCCCCATGAGTCACCCCTGGACCCTGCCATGTCCCAGACTGCTGGGTGTGGCTTTTCTCTCCTCCAGACCGCTCGAAGGCTGAGCTTTTTCCCTGGGTTGATGAGCAGACTGGGCTCCAAGACTCTGTTGCCCACAGGCTTTCCACCTCTGTGTGTGTGCCTCCTTGACAGACTCACTCTAGTTTATCAGTGTTCTTCCCACGCCATGGCCACTGCTCTGGCAGCATCTACAGCCAGCACAGAGGTCACCAAATCTCCCTAGTCCTGCCTGACTCTCTGCAGTGATTCATCCGGGGCTCTCTGTTACGCCGAGTTACTGGTGGCATTGCAGAGGACACTCATGTTCAACATGAGTTCAGACAATGTATCTTCTGCATTCTTTTACCTAGGTAGGACTTTATGCTTGGTTGTACTAACAAGTATACTGCTTGCTGAAGCCCTGCTTAGCAGCCAGCTCAAATCACTGCATCTGAGTGCTGTATTTGCTCCTTTATTCTCCACTTACTTAGTCTTTGTCACCTGCAAACTGCACAGGCGCAGCGTCCTGCCACGGGTTCACGCTCGCCCAGCTCTGCTGCCCAACCACCCACCACCCCCCAGCCAAAGCTCTGCTTCAGCACTCACCATTTTCCAGCACCCTGGGGCTTTCCACCTGCAGGTCTCCGCAAAAACCTTGCAGTCCCAAAGAATTCCTCTCACAGGCCTTTTAATGTCTGTGCATCAATGTTAGTGTGACCCTGCTAGATAACGGAGTACCTGGGTTTAGACGTGCAGGAAGGGATTCCTCTGTCTCACACTGTCTCCGTCTCCGCGCAGGGAGCAGCTGTGCAGGATTTGTGTGCTGCTGAAGCAGGTTCCTGAGCCATCCAGGAGATATGTCCTGGGGGCCCTGCAGCTGGAGGAGCAGTACAGCTGGGGTTTGGGTCCTCCCACATGCACTCTTGCGCTGGTGTTAGACAGGCAGGAAGGTGATCAGGTACCTCCAGCCTATGAGCCTCTGGCTGTGCTTGGCTGAGGAATGAAGAAGCTGGTACAGGGTTCAACCTATCAAAACTACAGTCTGGGCTGAGTACGTAAGTAATGCATGTTACAGTTGATGGATAAAGAATTGGCTGGATGGCTGTATCCAAAGAGTTGCAGTCAATGGCTCAACATCCAAGTGGAAACTGGTAACGAGTGGTGTTCCCCAGGGGTCCATACCAAGACCAATACTATTTAATATCTTCATCATTGACATAGTGGGATTGAGTTGCATCAGCAAGTTTGTGCGTGAGCTGTGCAGGTGATAGCAGGGTATGTCTGACCACAGTGTGGGGAAAGGAAGACCAGGGCAGGCAAGGGACAGCCCAGCAGTTGTGAGGACGCTGCAGCCTGTGTCTGATGCTGGTGCCTCACTGGAGAAGAGAGAGAAAAATGCAAGAGTGCAAAAGAGCCCCAGTAAGACCAAGTAGCTGCAAAAACCATTGTAGAGTGATAGCTTTGAAGGTCTTGACCCGTTCAAGTGATCAAGGCATGATCTGGGAATGGTGCAGTAGGGACTGTGGCTGGAGTCACGCCAGCCTGGAGGCAGGACGTGAGCTTTTCAAGGGGATGACATGAGGTGATCCGCAGTGGTGAGGGCTCCCCGGGTGTGTGTGGTACGCAGTGAGGTACCCCGGGCTCAGTCCCCCAGGCCAGACTGTGTTTGGCAAGTGCACCCCACTCCTGGCCGCTGAGGTTGGGGGAGCAGTGAGGTGCCAGCTCTCCAGGGTGCCTCCACTGGTCCTGCTCCTGCTGGACCCGCTTCATCCGGAGTCACTCGTCACAACAGGCAACCTTGCAGCCTGTGTGTTTGGGCTACAAACAAGCTTGGTTCTTGATTACATGATTAGAAGCATAGCTGGTGAGAAAGGGAAAAGAAACCCACCCCAAACATGCTTACACAAGATGCTAAGCGCTTTCACAGATCTCACTGCAAGCCCTGAAAGAGGTACTACAAAGCTGCAGGGGTGGTTTGGCCTGATGGAGCCCCACGGCTGGACTCCAGGGCTGGGGAAGCCTGCACCCTCAGGAGGCCACATGGAGCAGCAGGCCGCTGAGCTGCTCCCTCCATCACTCCAGCCCCATCCTCTCTCTCCTTGGCCATTTTGTTCTCAGTTTCCCCAAAGGATTCCCCCTTCCTCCCCCAGAGGCTGCTCTGGATGTTCGCCCATCCTCCATTCCTTGCTCAGGACATTGAGCTTTTCATCATCACAGGACTTTGCCAAGTGGTTAAAACAGACTGTTTAGGCTAAGCTGGTCCCTCCCACCTGCTTTTTCCGCAGCAAGGGTGTTAACTCAACCCGGCTCCCAGGACGCAATGTCCTGCTGGACTCTGAGACTTTCTCATCCAGATGCACTGTCTTTCTAGAGGTCCCTAAACAACACAAATCGTTGGGCTCAGCACTGGGAGCACTGGGTGAGTTTTATGTCTCTGTGGCCGTCTAAAGTGTGCAGGGCAGGACTCCCTGTGCAGGGACAGAGCTGTGGCTCCACGGTCTGAGGGGCTCTGTGTGAGAAGAGGCTGGAAGCCTGCAGGACGCAGTGCAGCTCTGGGGAAGGAGAAGGCACCGTGTGCCGAAGGAGGTCTTGGTGTTGCGGGCTGGCAATTGCCCGGATGCCTCTCTGCAAAGAGCCTGTCTGGAGCCTCGGGTGACCCCTTCTCCTTGCTGCACAGGCTGAAACTCTGGGGCCTGAACTGCTACATGTACGCGCCCAAGGATGAGCTGAAGCACCGACTGCTCTGGCGAGAGCCCTACACAGAACATGAGGCAGGTAGCGGCTCTGCTGGGCCCCAGCACGGGTGGGCTGCAGGCGTCCCGGGTCCTCAAGGGTGATGCATGGATCTGCATCTCAGCCAGGGTCAGGCTGGCCGTTACCACTCTTCCCGCCAGGAACCTGCCCATTTCAGGCAGCCCCACAGGCCCTGCCGAGTGCAAGGAGACCTCCAGACACTGCCTGGTACAAGAATCCTCCCCAGCCCCTGCCCATCACATGGAATCACCTAGGAGCCCACCCAGCATGGGGAGCTCCACGCGTGGATCTCTGGCAACATGCTCGAATATGCCCACAGACCCTTGTGGAGAGCCCTCTGTGTCCCAAGGGACTGGGAACTATCTCCCCTGGGTGTCTCCCCTCCAGATGCTCTCTCATGCTTCCCGATGCCCTCAGCTCTTTCTTTTTGGGCCACTGTGATTCCCTCTCCCTCCATCCCTTGTCTCCCACCATCCCGTGCCTCCCAGCGCTCACAGCACCCCTTCTGCTTTGTCCCCAGCCCGCATGCGGTCTCTTATCGAAGCTGCCCAGGAGCAGGGTGTGGAGTTTGTTTTCGCCATTTCTGCTGGCCAGGACATGGTGTTTTCAAGTGCTGGGGATCGGCTCCTGCTGCAGCAAAAACTCAGGCAGGTAGCGTGGGCCATTTCTTCATCCCACCACACCCAGGCGAGGGGCATGCGTGCTTGTGGGTGGGCCCCATGCCCACCCCAAAGGCTGGTGTGGGGCTGTAAACCCCCATCAGGGAGCAGCCCTGTGGGGTGCCCGGTGGGAGAGAGAGAGAGATGAGGGCTCCATGGATGCCTGACTGCTAGAGGGCAGCACTGGGGACAGGAGGAGGACCGGACAAGCCCCAGAACTTGCTGGGCAGCACCAGAGGCCGGTGCAGGCTGGTGCTGAGCCCGCGGTCCCCAGGGAGGGTAAAGAGCCTCCAGCACAGTGGGTTTGCCCCATGGGCTTGGAGAGAGGTGGACTGTGGCCATGGGGCTGTGTGTGGCATCCGCTGGGCGAGCACGGGTGACATGGTGAGGGCTGCTCTGCCCGCCCCGTCTGTCCAGGCACCCCAGACCACTGCTGTCCTTACGGGGCCCAGGTGGCAGGGGCTTGTCTGGGGCTCGCTGCCTCCTTTCTCTCTGCTGCCCAGGGATCCTAGCAGCCCATGCCCATGCCCGCAGGTGGCTGCTATGGGGTGCTCCTCCTTCGCGCTGCTCTTCGACGACATCGACCCCTGCATGTGCCAGGCTGACAGAGACGTCTTCTCCTCCCTGGCGCAGGCTCAGGCGTCTGTGGCCAACGAGGTCTACCAGGAGCTGGGTCAACCCTCTGTCTTCCTCTTCTGCCCTACAGTGCTGTCTGCACTCAGCACCTGTGTCTGCTGAGACCTGACTGCCCTGACAGCCTCCATGGCTCCCCCCAGCCCCCTCATGCTCCTGCAGGAGTCCTGGAGATCTCGGGACAGTACAGGACTCGGCTGCAGTGCATGCTGTATTCCCTGCACCGTGTATCTCCCCAGCCCCTGTCCATTGATCCCAGGCAGCCTCTGCTCTCCCGGTCTCTCTGGTCCTCAAGAGATGCTCTGTGCTCTCTCCCCAGAGTACTGCAGCTCTCTGTGCTCTCCCAGCCCCAGCAAGTCCTGTTACTTGCTGACCCTCGGCCAGGAGCTGCTCCCAGAGATCGGTGTCATCTGGACAGGTGAGCACCTGGCCGGGCTCTGTGGGACTGTGCAGCCCCGGCTGGGCAGGCAGTGGGTCAGGCTGTGGGTCTGCTCTCCTTCTGTCTAGGGAGGGTGGGGTGGGGTGACTTGACCCTCATGTCCACGCTCAGTGCCCCAGACATGTGCATGTCCCTGTTGTGAGTGTGCACGACGGATGGCACTGCCTGCTGCTCCACGTGTGTCTGTGCCGTGATGCTCCAGGACCAAAGGTGGTGTCACAGGAGCTCTCAGCCACACTGCTGGAAGAGGTGGAGGGTGTCCTGCGGCGCCGCCCTGTCATCTGGGACAACCTGTATGCCAACGACTATGACTGCAGACGTGTCTTCCTGGGCCCCTACACGGGACGTGCCCCTGGCCTCATGGCCAGGCTCCATGGACTGCTCCTCAACCCCAACTGCGAGCTCCAGGCCAACTTCATCCCCATACACACATTGGGCAGCTGGTTTCAGAGTGAGCTGGGGAGCTGTACCCATCCTGATCACACAGGTACCTGTCCCCAGCACCCCAGGCAACTCTGTACGTGGGGCCTCAGCGCTGGCAGTGAGCTTGTGCACACAGGGCAGGGCCATGGCCATCGCTGCCCATCTTTGCCATGACCCTGTAGGCTTTCCTGCATGGCAGCCTGGGTGAGGTGTCTCACCTCCCTGGGCACCACCTGACATCCTGGGGCAGGGGATCCATCCTGGGGGCATCTCCTTGGGGCAGGGAGGGGGGTCTGCCCACCCTCAGTGTGGCATGGGATAGCTCCATCAAGCAAAGAGCAGGGCTGCCCAGGCTGATGAGCTCCAGTTCCTTAGGGATGGAGACTGCGGCAGCCCCGGGGGACAGCCAAAGCCCACAGGAGGGCAGCTACAGCCCCCAGGAGGCCTTGGAGCTGGCGCTGCTTGACTGGGTGGCCGAGATAAACCGGCAGGCCTTGGAGCCAGGTAGGTGATGAACGCGCACGGTGCAGCATCCCTCACCCCATGCAGCATCCCTGACCCAGCGCGGGAGCGCTGGACCAGTTCTGCTGGGAGCTCGGTGGGGTGAGGGAGCACCATGCCCTGCCCCTTTGGATGGGGTGCTCTGGCTGGTGCTGCAGCGGGGTCTCTGCATGTCATGGTGGGCAGGTGTGGGTGTCCATTGCACCATGCTGCCCCGTGGGTGCTCCTGCCCTGGCCACATCCCAGAGGGGATCTCCTCAGCTAGCCTGGGCCGTGATACAGCTCTGGAAGAGGGAGTTCAGCCAGGTGCATGCTTGGAGATTGGCACTGTTTACCTGTGGTCTCATCAGCCATGGAGGCCCAAACTCCAGAGTACAGTACTCCGGTCTCTGCCAGCTCAGAGATGGAGCTTCCCGACATGGCCGCCCCCAGGGCTGTCCTGCCACATGGGCAGCAGTTTCCATGCAGGTGCCAGAGGGGCTGCCCCCTTGCTCCTTTCTGCCAGGAGGAAGCACCCAAGGACACCCCAGCATCAGCCTCAAGGGAGGAAGGAGGCTGCAGCCTGGCACAGCAGGAGTTCAGGAAGTCATGCCCGACCGCCAGCCCCACGTCTCTGTTCCCAGTGGGGCAGACCAGCATGGCGCTGAGCCCTGCGGTGTGGCACCAGGGGAGGGAAGGATGAAGGTGACTTTGGAGTCCGAGAAGAGCAGTGGGAGCAGGACCTCTGTCAGCGGTCAGCAAAGCCCAACAAGGGATGGGGAGCAGCTCGCCCTGGGGAGCAGAGCGAGCTGTGAGTCCTCTGCCCTGCCCAGCACAGCTGGGACTGCCCAGTCCACAGGAACCCTGGTGGCTACCGAGACCCTCCACAGCCCAGGCACCGTGTTATGCTGCAGTAATGGGGCCAACACCAGCCAGAACCTTCCCCTACTCACCAGTGATCCCCAGACAGGGGGTGACAGCCCCCTTCAGCGCCCCAGCAGTACCCAGCCTGAGGCCAGCAGGGCTGACATGCCCCAGACACCCCCAGGGCCTGGGGCTGGCACCAGCCCTGGTTCCCCAGCACCACTCACTGATGGGGCTGGCACCAGCTCTGGCCCCTCAGCACTGCTCACTGGTGAGGTTGGTGCTAGCCCTGGCCCCATGGTACCATTGACCCCAGAGGAGGCTGGGTCCAGACCCATGGCCCTGCTGACCCTGGAGGAGGCGGGGTCTGACCCCATGGTACCACTGACACCCAAGGAGGCCAGTTCCAACCCCATAGCTCCAGTAACCCAAGAGGAGGCCAGGTCCAGCTCCACAGCACTGGTGACCCCAGAGGAGGCCAGGTCCAGCCCCACAGCACCGCTAACTCCAGAGGAGGCCAGGTCCAGCCCCACAGCTCCAGTAACCCCAGAGGAGGCCAGGTCCAGTCCCACAGCACTGCTGACCCCAGAGGAGGCCAGGTACAGCCCCACAGCACCGCTGACCTCAGAAAAGCCTGGGTCTGTCCCTACGGCACTGCTGACCCTCAAGGAGGCCAGGTCCAACCCCACAGCACTGCTGACTCTGGAGGAGGTGCGGATGCTGGTGGAGCTCTTCTACCTGCCCTACCATCATGGGCCACAGGCGCAGAGTCTCCTGGAGCATTTTCGATGGCTCCGGGCAAATAGCCTCAGTGTGGGAGTCCCGGCCGTGGCACCTGACACTTGTGGGGTAAGGCTGGTCCAGGCACTGCTGCAGGACGGTGCCTGTCACAGTTGCGCTGACACACGGTCCATCCACAGGGCACGCAGTGGCGCGGCCGAGCCCAGTCCTTCCAGCTGCTCTGCGCTCAGACATGCCGCCTGCACAGCCGCTTCGTCAGCAGTGCCGGACGGGCACTGCTCTATGACCTCCACCCTTACCTCTGGGACATCCGCAACATGCTGCTGGCCGCCAGTGCCTTCGTCCTCTGGCTGGGTACGTGGGTGATGCCATGCCTGTGGCCCCGTAGCACATATTCGCACCCTGGCCAAATCCAGGCATGCTGAAGTGCAGGGGCCCCCGGGGCACTGTGGCATACCCAGGGCATCTGAAGCTTGTTCTGTGGTGATCTGTTTCTGCCCCTAAAGAGGTGAAGGTGTATGAGACCCCCTCCCAGAGGTCTGGGGTCATCGTGTCCAGCCAGGGGTGCCAGGGTCTCTCCTGGGAGCACACCTCCCCTTGACACCTTCCCCACCACTGACCCATGCTCACCACCTCGCCTCCCTTGCAGATGGCCATCTCCTCTGCGACCCTGACCCCAAGGGCACCTGGGGAAGCTGCTTTGGCTGTAAGTACCAGTGCTGCCCTGGAGCACCCACCTGGGCGGTGGGGCACTGGCTGGTGCCCTCCACCACCTCCAGCCCCACAGCAGCAGCCAGCACTGGCTATCGGGTTGCCCTTTCCCATGCCCTGTCCACCGAACGGAGTGGGAATGGCCATGGGAAGCGTGGCAGCCCTGCGTGCTCTGACACACTGAGGCAGGATGGGGCGCTGGTGCTGGGGACAGGGCGGTCATCGGAGCAGCTCTTCACCATCTCTCACAGTGCAGAAGGAATGCCTATTTCTAGGGCATGGTTCCTCAGCCCTTTTAATCCAAAGACCTTTCTGGTAAAAGGGATCCGTGGGTCATTGGGAGCAGTAATGACCTGGATGACAGAGGTGAGGTTGGATTTTGAATGCCTGTGCATCACTTTGGGAGGCCCCGTTCCTCTGGTTTAGGGTTCCTTGGTTGCTCTGTGGGCCTTGTGACCTTTTACAAACCGTGAAGTGTTACCAGATGACGACCTGAGAAGGTCTCCAAGTCCAGTGTGGGACGCAGCCGTGTGCCTTGAACCACTTCCACAGGGAAGCAGCTGCATGCGGGGCAAGTTCCCACAGGCACAGGCACTGCTCTCTGTGCCAGGCTGTAGCTTCCCAGCTGTAGTCAGGAGCTGTGCCTTTATCTTACACCTTTCATGGAGGCAAGATCATACCTTTCCCTGTTCCCCCACTTCAAGCTCTGTTGCGGAGGGTGTGCTGCTACTCCAATGCATGGGGCTGGCCCCCCAAGCCCAAGCGAGGTCCTGTGCTCGGGCTGCACGGCTGTGGGAGCAGATCCTTGGAGCTGTGACCGGTGTGATCGTGATGTTGCTGTCCAGCGGAGGCTGATCTCCCCCTGGCCCAGCAGGTTGTTGTTCACCTCGCATGTGTCTGTCTCCTGCTTCCTCCAGGGTGCCAGAGCATCACTGCCCCGATGCTGCTGGGGGGGGACGCTGAGCCCTGGGCACGTCGTGGGGGCCTCTTTGGAGAGCTGCAGGTGAGAGCATGCCCATATCTGTGGGGGCTGAAGGAGCCGTTGGGAAGCCAGGATCCCAGCTGCTGCTCCTGGCCCTGCCGTTGGATTGCTGCAAGCTTGGGAAGGCAGAGCTGCCCCGGGCTTCTGCGCCTTGGCTGCAGCTCCTGGGGTTTAGGGTGCCTCGGAGGGACCCTCCTCCTGCTCCCTCCAGGACAAGGTTTGGAGCCAGGACAACCTGCTCCTTGATGGACCGCATCTCTTCCAGGCACTGCTGCCTGTGGGGAACAGCTATGACCTCTTCTACCACCCACCTCCG